TTGCATATACTATTTACTCAAATTTTAACATTGAGCAATGTCAATATCTTTATAATCAGGAATCAAAGACCACCCCTCACTTTATCTTTACTGGTTCAGTTCTTCCTACTTGCATTACTGGGGTAAGAATGTATAGAAGTTGCAGATTTCCATACTCATTTCCTTCCTATAAGTTATAATATTTTCCACTTTTGTTACACATTGACAATGAAGGATCACAGCAAACCAAGGGTTTTACTTGCTGGGATTATACTATGCTTCTCCAACTTTTGCTTCTGCATTGCAAAACTCAGTTCCTGCAATCACTTTTGTCTTGGCTTTGGCTTTAAGGTAACCAAGTCTCCTTGTAACATTCTTTATTATTTTATGCTGTGATCTTGGCATAACTTGATGATTTCATTTTATTTGTACCAGGCTTGAGGAAGCCAACATCACAAGGAGAGATGGATTGGCAAAAGTTCTTGGAACCATTGCTAGTGTGGGGGGTGCCACAGTAATTACTCTTTACAAAGGTCCTCCTCTTCTTCACCTGCAGATGGACCTAACACAAGGAGACACTTTAGAAGTAGATCAATCAACAAAAACGCAAAATTGGACTTGGGGCTGCATATACTTGCTTGGACATTGTCTGTCATGGGCTGGCTGGATAGTTTTTCAGGTCTTGTCAATTCTAATGACATAAGCAGAATATATAAACTGAAATTTCAGAGTTCAGATAACCAATATGTTGATTCGTACTTAAGATAAACGTATCCATATAATATATAATGTAGTTTATTGTGACCAGACATATGTTCATGAAATTTACTTAATTTCCTCAGTATCACCAATTTTGTGACCTGAATGGTAAAAGCAAAAAACTTGGTGCAGGCTCCTGTGGTGAAGAAGTATCCAGCAAAACTAACCCTCACTTCGTTTACATGCTTCTTTGGATTGATCCAGTTCTTGATCATAGCAGCCTTTGCAGAAGATGACTTGGAGAATTGGAAGATACAGTCACTAGAGGAGCTTTTTATTATCCTATATGCAGTAATATTCATCACTTGAATTCTCAAACATTATTAAATATGATTTACATGACACATAATCCCAAGAACTGGAAATTTTGAAGTTAACTCAATTCACTGTTGCATGATGGTGGTAATTGCAGGGAATTATAGCATCTGGTGTTGTCATATCTCTCCAAACATGGTGTATTCAAAAGGGTGGTCCTGTGTTTGTTGCTGTCTTCCAGCCTGTGCAAACTATTCTAGTTGCTGTCATGGCAGCCCTAATTCTTGGTGATCAGTTATACTCAGGAGGGTACGTTCTAAATTTGTTGATCATTACTGGAATATTTCCCTATTCATGAAATGACTGAAGTACACAACGGCATAAATGAGTTATTCAATTTTTTACAGGCTTATTGGTGCAATTCTCATTGTGCTTGGTCTATACTTAGTCCTATGGGGCAAAACCAACGAAAAAAAAGTGAGAGAGTCATCACCATCACTAACAAACCCCTTGCTTAAGGCAGAGGAAGAGAATAAAGAAATTGATGCAGCTTCCAAGGACATACCATGACTTGTCCATCTGTTGACAAGAACATTATGTCTAGTCCTGGTTTGAATAACTACTGATATATGGTCCTACTTAGTAGCATTTCAAGTGTGCAACTTTGGATATAGCTGTTGAAGTAATGGTGTTGATGGCTAAGTTTGGTTAAGGAATAAGCCTGCTGGTGCTTGTTTTTTTTCATCTGAGAAGTCATTTCATTGACATTTGATTACAGGGTCAAATATAGTTTTCCGATCATGTGTCATGTCAATGATACAAGCAAGACTCTTTGAGCTCTATGTTACACTGACTATACATGAATACTATGAATATTGACTATCTTTCACTTTTCAGTCTTCAGATATTAAAAAGAATCTTGAGAAATTGTCTCCATTTTTCTTGTTTAGCTATTAAATCATTTCTCCTTATTAATTCACAACTTCTGGATATCTGGACGTGGTGGAGTTTATGCACTATAGTTCAAGTTCAGTATTATTGCGTATACAAAGTTCAAATATCAGTGAGGGCATTTTATTACTGCTAAGAGAGAGGTGTGGCAACTTGAAATATTGCGTGTAATGTTCTTTCAAATATAAATAAATTTAGTATGATACTACTGGTGATGATGATCATAGCAGTCAGAAACAGGCCTATTTCTATACTGAAAACTGAGGAAGAGGTGGTCTGATGAGAAAGCATTGGAATATTGTCAAAGACTTTTATGGTATTTTTTATTGATAATGAATAAGGTAGAGAATGATAATGAAAATGCAACACTTCTACCATCTACTGAAGAGGTGAACTTGAATGTTTCTTCTTTCAGAAATTCTGGCAGAATAGTGAATTTGGATGTTTATGCAGCACTACTACAATTATTAAAGAAGGATTTTAAGCCTATTGCATTAGATAATGATTAAGAAGATTATGACCAATAGATGGACTGTTTTTGCTCCAATAGTAATTTCTTCTAATCAGTTTGGTTTCATAAAAAGGAGAATTATTGATTGTGTCTGCTTGGTATCAATACATTTGCTTTGTTGGTATCAAGATAAAGAAAATTGACCTTAAATGATGTTCGACACAATTGATTAAAATTTTGTTACAAGTTTTAGATCATTTTAGATTTCACCATCATTCTATCCTTTTGATCATGACAATTATTGAGTAGTCCCAGCTTTAAAGGACCTAAAGATGCAATGTATTGATATTTTAAAAAGTAAACAAATAAATATTGACATAGGTTAACACAAATATTACTATGTGTATACTAAATATTTACAAAATATTCTGTATCAACATTAGTGCAAACAAGTGTATTGGTCATGTTTATCCACATTTTCACTTACATAATTAAACAAAATATGTTAACTTAGCCAATAATAACTTTCTAGAAATTGTATTTATTATTATTATTATAAACAATTGACATATTTGCAGAATTATGTTTTCATCCACACATATATATCTCTTGGATGGTATTACATATCCTCATTTTAGGTAAAGCATTTTCAGAAGTTAAAAATTTATGAATTTATATTCTTTTGGATGGTATTCTCCCTGGATTTTTGGGAGAATCATTTCAAGAAATTAAAAATGACTTATTTGTCATGAAATTATCCTTTCAAATTTTGAGTTAGACTAAGCATTTCAAGAAAATTAAAATTTATATCCTAAATTTACATACTCATTAACTTGTTTATACTATTACCAACAGATTAAGAAGGGTATGATTCATGCTAATGGTTGTTGTGACTTTTATGGTGTTACTTGATGCGCTCTCTCTTGACAGGTCGATGTGGAACTCATGCTGAAAACTACATTATCTGCAGCTCTTCATGAAGTTAAAAGTCATTCCTAGCTACCAGTCAGCTTGAATATAAGACAAAGAACTATACATCCAAACATATTAAACAATTCGTGTTTTATTGATTATTGCATCATTTAAGAAGCGAAATGAATTTGAAGCAGGTCATTTAGCAGCACAATTTAATGAATAAATACTATTGTTTTTCTTTATAAAATAGTTTATGTAAAGACTCTGACTGAAGATGATGTCCACTGGTTCAAATATTTTCTATGGATCATGCCCACATGAACTTATTTAAAACTCAGATGAACCATTTGTTTTCTGATAAAGATGTGCCTGCAAATATTTCTTTATCAAAAGTTGTAAAAACTGAGATGAATTTTAGATGCTTTTCACATGCTTGACAATATTATTATTTTCACAACTATAACACTATACATTATTAACACATACATATGTTTATTATCAATGCTTGCAAAAACTTCTTGCAGCATTTGTACCTTAATCAGAAATAAACATTTTTGATTTTTCTGTTCTTCAATATCATTTATGACACTGCTCAATCTTACAGATATCAGTCCCAATGAAATTCCAGAAATAAAATAATGAATCCTGCATTGACCAACTCTGCTTCATCTAGAAAAAAGTGATCCTTATCAGAATCTTATGTCTTTAAGTGAGCAAGTGATGATCTAGGAGAGTGTTTTATGTTGAATCTATGTCGTGAATTTTGTTTCCCAAAGTTACCCACCATTATTGAATATGGAAAATTTCAGAAAACATTAAATGTCAACATAAACGACCATATAATATAATAAAATAAGATGCCAAACAAGTACTGCCAAAAGGAAAAAGGAATACTTGTTGTCCAAGTATAGCTATAAACACTATCAAAGTCCAAAGAACTAAACTTAAAAATAAATCTGATTGTGTTTCGAGTAGTCTTAACTTAGATTTTATTAAACTATTTAATATAAATAATGATAATAATAATAATAAATAATTTTAAAATATTTATTTAAAAAGCATAATTTAATTGAAACTTTATATTTTTTATTCTAGAGGTTAATTATACATGGGAATGAAATTGATACATCGTATTAAAAGGAGAATTCAATTTGATTGAGTTTCATTTTTTACATATTTTAATCTTGTTGGATTGGAATTATAAGTTAAACAATTTACTCTTATTTTGACTGGAAAAAGAATGTAGCTATCATTTTAAATGGGGTGGCCCAAGTGTCTACTTTTTTTAGCAGCTTGTTTTAGTCTAATTTGACAGACTACTTTAATAACTTCTAATTTTTATATTTTTAATAAAACAATTGGAAGCTACATCTTTTACTAGTGAAATTTGTTATAAAATGTATTCATGAATTTTGCTTTTTCTTGCAGCATCCAAGTGTCAAACAGAAAACATTAAACAAAAACAAACAAAAATGGAAGAAAGTAGAAAATGAATGAAATAGACCAACAGGCATACCTAAAACAATGAAAGTATTTTAACCCGTGAAAAGATCTATGGAAGAGACGCAACACCACTTAAATTTAACATTAATATTATTTTAACTCAATAAAATAATAAATTTGTAAGTTCTTTCTTTATATTATATAGTGTTCAACTCTTTTTTTTTTTCTTAATCATTGTTGTTCAACATAAGAATTGAACTTATATTAGAATTCTTAACAAAAATAAAGTAAATGATATATCCAAAATTATTTTATACCTAAACCTTAAAAATTTATAAATTTAGAATTCATTATCAAACATTTTTTTCCATAAAGATAAAAATTCAAGTATGAATCCAAATCTTATATTAGATAAAAATGAAAAAGTATAGTATTAAATAAACGTGAAAGACTTATTAACCAATACTTTAATGTTTTAGATACACAATAATATCAATTTCTTTTATGATTGGATTTAAATCTCATTGAAATTATATTTTTCTAATAAATCTCCTCAACCCTCAATAATTTATAAAATAAAAGTTGTCATCAATTTACATTAATATTAATCTTATTTCTTATCAACATAACATTTCCAAGAGAGTAATTTTAAAAAATACTTTCTTACTTACATTTTTCGTTATTACTTTTTAGGCTATATTTTTCTTTAGAGTAACTTAGCAAAAGCTGTGTTTCGCACATCACATCCCTGTTTGTCGTAGACGTGCACCAATTCTCTTCTCTCGTTCTAAAATTCATACCAAACATGTCAACTTCATAAATCATAATCATGACTCATCACGTTTTAATATTTCATACATAATAATAATTAGAATAATAAGAAGGAATANGCACCCAAATCGACTAATGCACACTATCACTAAAGAAGAGAAAGAACATCCACCCGCAATTCTCTGTTTTATTCCTTCGTATAGAAGTAAACTTCTGGCAAGGAGGCACACCCCATTTCAGCAGGTATATTTTACAAACATGACCACACAATTTATTGTGAACCAGCAAGTTACCAGTTTCCTCTGTTTAATTCTACAACGCCATTAAAGCTCAAATCTAACTTGCAAAGCAAACCAATCATGTCTGGTTTCAACTGGTCCTACCGGATAACACTTCCTCCAACCAAACCTGCTTGTAAGAGGGGCAGATGCCTCATTTTAGAGACAAATTAAATCACTTATATCATTCTACTTATTTTGGTTTTCCATATTATATCCTCCTTCAAAAGATTCAAACTTCGGTAAGTTACTTTGTGAGTAACAAGTACTTCCGCTAAACTCAACTTGGTTATGTTAACATAAATTAACAGCATACTCCTCATTCCTGTAACTAGCCTAACTTGACACACAAGTAACACAATTCCCGCAATTAACACTAAAAATCCCAATCCATCACCTCATTTAACTAAAATTTATTCCATTTCCCAAACAAATAAACAAACATTTAAAAACCAATAACAACTTATAAATACACACAACTACTAACAGTGAAAAAAGATATCAGGGCCAAAATGAGAAACACACTCTGCTGCGTTCCCCAAGGGGTAGATACTTGAGCAGAATCTCGCGCATGAACTTGGCCTTATCGTCACGAGGCACGTTGAGCATGCTCGGAGGGAGGTACCTCTCCAAGGAGCTGAAGATGTTAGGGCTGAAATCCAACTGCAGGTCCTCGTAGCCATCTGGCTTGTGCTCCTTGTTAGGGTTCAGCCGCAGCCTCAGGCTCGCCGCCGCCACCATGCCGTTTCCGCCGACGCCCGACATGTCGCGGCGGTCGCTACCGTGGAGCGACATTCTCGGAGCGGGGTAAGTGAGTTAGACGGTGGTCATGCGGAAGAATGGAGGGAAATTAGGGTTTCGTCGGAGAAGAAGCAAAATCGGAGTTGCAGATTAGGGTTTTGTTGAGTTGTGTAGAGGGAAGAAGATGAGAGAGTTAAGAGAACTGATTGGATTTATAAATGAATTAAGTAATGAATGAATATGGAAACATAAATGTCAGAATTATTTTCTTTTCGANTGAGGGAAGAAGATGAGAGAGTTAAGAGAACTGATTGGATTTATAAATGAATTAAGTAATGAATGAATATGGAAACATAAATGTCAGAATTATTTTCTTTTCGACATGTTCGAATAAACACAAACAGCAAGAGATGCTAAAAAATAATATTTAGTTGTCCATTTGAGTTTAATAAAAATCTCATAAATATATAAACATTTCATTTATTTCACTTCTCAATAAAATTTAAAATGCTAATAATATGTAATAATAATGAAGTTTATGTAAAACTAGGTGAAAAAAATTACAGTAGAAACACTTATTTTCTCTTATAAAAACCTTACTAACCCTAGAATTTGATTTTATTTACTCACATACAGTTGAACAAAATCTAATAAATATGTATAGATTTCACTTATCAATAAAATTTAAAATGATAGTAATATGTAATAATCATGAAGTTCATGTAAAACTAGGTGAAAAAAATTATAGTAGAAACGGTTATTTTATCTTAGAAAAACCTTACTAAAGTAGATTAAATATTATATAAAAAATCAAAAGATAAATTTTATGCCACTAAATGAATAATATAAAAAGTCTTTCAAATAAAAGTAAAAATGCAATTAACTAGTTTATTGGAAAGAGTTGTAAATTGATTAACAGTAGTAGAAAGGAGAGTACTTGATTTCTAGGGTTTGAAGACCTTCCCCACTAGTTGTTGCAAAACAAGGGAAGAAGAAAATGAGCGAAAGCTCAGAGACCCAGAAGCGTGAATCTGCGGATTCAAGGGGCGAGAAGGATGGTGTTGCATCCAAGAAGCCAAAGATTGAGTCTTGTGCAAAGGGTTCCGATGATAATGGTGTAAAGGAGCCATCTTTTCTCATTGAAGCGGATGCCGCCGAAGACAAGGGCTCGAGGCTCACGATGGAGGATGCGTGGGTCGTCCTTCTCGATGCAAGTTTAGATTATCCTGGAAAATTGAGGTTCTTTTCTTCTTTTTTTACTCTGATTTATTGTTATTATTATTATGGCTAAAGTTTGACAAATTCCATAAAGTTTATTTTTAAGAACCAGTTTCTTGATTTTTGAAAAAAAAAGGGCTATGTTTTGATTACTCTAAATGTAAGGCTTTCTTTTAGTTTGGAATTTCTTAACAATGTGAGCATATGCAATATGTTTAACTAAACTGTCAACCGTGCATTGTCACTCTGCTGTTTTCTTTCGTTAGATATATTATCAAATTCTTGTTTTACTTGGTTGTTGTTTATGTTAGTTCTTTCTTGAGTAGTTTGAGTGAAAGGATGCGTCAGTGGGAATGGCACATGATAAAACAACCATTTAAAGACTCTAGATACATTAAAATGATAGTTGAAGACCACCAAGTCCCTGTGAAAGTTAANTACTTTTTAGGCTATATTTTTCTTTAGAGTAACTTAGCAAAAGCTGTGTTTCGCACATCACATCCCTGTTTGTCGTAGACGTGCACCAATTCTCTTCTCTCGTTCTAAAATTCATACCAAACATGTCAACTTCATAAATCATAATCATGACTCATCACGTTTTAATATTTCATACATAATAATAATTAGAATAATAAGAAGGAATAATGATGCAGTTAAACAGGTTGGAAGTTATTTTTCACTGGTTAAAGAAAAAAAAAGACAGATCTAATGTTTTAATAGTATAACACTATTTTTAGTGCTTTAATAGTACAGAATCTCCTTCAGTACTGAGTGTTAACAGTATGTTGAAATGAACACTGCTGAAGTTTTAATTATAATAACTCCTAACTGAATGCAATAACCCTGATGTTTTATTTGATAAGAAATAAATAAAATAATTTATTGATATTAATGAAAATAGTTTATATAATTATTGTTTTAGGAAATTACTTACTATCAATTAAGATTTAATCATATTTTATCACTTATTTATCATTATTTCTCAAAATCTACCCTTTCTTTTATATGATTTTATTATTAAAAAAATTCAATTTTTATACATTGTATCGCTCAATGATTCCTGCAACAAAATGAAATGTGCGTGATATGAAAAACTTAGATCATAAAGTTTTCGAAGTGGTAATATTTATAGGGGGAAATATAGAATCAAATATTTTACTATTGTATCATAATTTAAATTTAATCTTTGAAATAGTGTTGTTTGTAAAGTGAAATGGAAAAGAAAAACCCTGTAAGGTGCTGCCTTTATAATCTATTTATACCATGCAATAAGCAGTATCCAACATTCATCTGTCTGTGTTCTGTGTGTTGAGTAGCAAAAGAGAAGAGAAATGGAGAGAGAAGACCAAAGCCAAAGTGGATATCTTCAGTCTCCATTGATTCAGCACTCATATTCATCAGGGCAGGGTGATGGATTGGTGGTAAAGGAAAAGCAGAGCAGTTGGAAGAGAACTGAAAGAAGTGATGTTGTTGAAGAAGTGAAAAGGCAGTTATGGCTTGCAGGGCCTTTGATAACAGTGACCCTTTTGAATTTTGGCCTTAATCTTATATCTGTTATGTTTGTGGGGCATCTTGGTGAGTTGGCTCTCTCTGGTGCTTCCATGGCCACTTCTTTTGCCTCTGTCACAGGTTTCAGTTTGTTGGTATGTTACTTCTGTTTTCCTTCATACCATGTACTTTTTCAATGATTCCACAAGTTTTAAACTTAAATGGTTTTATAGTACATATCTAAAACTTGGGAAGTTTTGCTAGGGTTGGAAATGGCAGGGAAAGTCAACATTATTAGTTCAAAATAAATTGCTCATCATTCATTACCTGTTGACTTCTGGGATGCAGAGTGAATGTTGATAATTGAGAGTTGAAAGTAGAGTTCTGAGAGCTAGTTCTTCACTTTCATTCCAAAAATCATATGAGGACCAAATTCCAGACCACTTGATCTGAGAGGCTTTGATACTCTGCCATGAATTAACAATTCAAGAGTTTAAGTTGTTAGGGGACTACAAATGTCCCATTCTTCCATAGTTTTATATATTCTATTGCTTGAAAATAGGATTAGATATGGATGAAAAATTCAACATTATTTGTCCAAAACAATTGAGCTGATCATTTAAGCAGAAAATAGTGATTGGTCTGTGGTTTACATTGCAACATATATTGTCCAGGATAACACATTATGGTTTTTCTTTTCTATTTGGTTTTTGGTTGAAATAGCAAGGAATGGCAAGTGCATTGGACACTTTTTGTGGCCAGTCATATGGAGCAAAGCAGTACCACATGTTAGGCATACACATGCAGAGAGCCATGTTCATTCTCATGACTGTCAGCATCCCACTTGCAGTTATTTGGGCAAACACAAGATCCATTCTGATTTTCTTTGGTCAGGATCCTGAAATAGCTGCAGCAGCTGGGAACTATGCTACTTGTATGCTTCCAACCGTTTTTGCCTATGGTCTTCTACAATGCCTCAACAGATTCTTGCAAACACAGAATATTGTATATCCAATGATGTGCAGCTCCGGAATTACCACATTACTGCATGTACTTACATGTTGGATTCTGGTGTTCAAATCAGGACTGGGAAGCAAAGGAGCTGCTGTAGCAAATTCCATATCTTATTGGTTGAATGTTACTATGCTCACACTCTATATCAAGTTTTCTCCTTCATGTGCAAAAACTTGGAAAGGCTTTTCCAAAGAGGCATTGCATAACATTCCCACATTTTTTAGGCTTGCCATTCCTTCAGCTGTTATGGTTTGGTAATTGCATTCTCTTAATAAGTTAATAACACCTCTTACAATAAACTTTTAAACCTTGCACTTTCAATTCTTCTTGAGATCCTAATGCTGTTTTCAAAATTTTTTACCATTATTATGGTGAGCAGCTTGGAAATGTGGTCGTTTGAATTGATGGTTCTCCTTTCTGGTCTTCTTCCAAATCCAAAGTTGGAAACATCAGTTCTTTCCATCTGGTTGGTTTCATACTTGAGATGTTTTTCGCATTTGTTACATATGCTTGATTATTTTCATAAGTATTACATGACACTTGACATTATTGCACACACTTGGATTTGTTTTGCTAGCTTGAACAGTAGTGCAACTGTTTGGATGATTCCCTTTGGACTCAGTGGAGCAGTAAGGTTGGTACTTCTGAAATTCACTCAAGCATGCATCTGTCAGACATTCTGTTCTCTTCTCAATTTTCTTTTTGAAATATTTTTCTTTCTTTATCAATCATTGCATGGTTCTTGCAGCATTCGTGTCTCAAATGAACTTGGAGCTGGTCGTCCATGGATTGCACGCTTAGCAGTTCATGTTGTCTTAGCAATAGCCATTATTCAGGGCATCTTAGTGGGAACAGTGATGATACTTATACGCAACATATGGGGCTATGCATATAGCAATGAAGTAGAAGTGGTCGAATATGTAGCAATTATGTTTCCAATTCTGGCAGCATCCAACTTTCTGGATGGACTCCAATGTGTTCTTTCAGGTTTTTCTTTCACCATTACTTTTATTTGTCTGAAGTATACCTATGACTCNTCTGATTTTCTTTGGTCAGGATCCTGAAATAGCTGCAGCAGCTGGGACCTATGCTACTTGTATGCTTCCAACCGTTTTTGCCTATGGTCTTCTACAATGCCTCAACAGATTCTTGCAAACACAGAATATTGTATATCCAATGATGTGCAGCTCCGGAATTACCACATTACTGCATGTACTTATATGTTGGATTCTGGTGTTCAAATCAGGACTGGGAAGCAAAGGAGCTGCTGTAGCAAATTCCATATCTTATTGGTTGAATGTTACTATGCTCACACTCTATATCAAGTTTTCTCCTTCATGTGCAAAAACTTGGAAAGGCTTTTCCAAAGAGGCATTGCATAACATTCCCACATTTTTTAGGCTTGCCATTCCTTCAGCTGTTATGGTTTGGTAATTGCATTCTCTTAATAAGTTAATAACACCTCTTACAATAAACTTTTTAACCTTGCACTTTCAATTCTTCTTGAGATCCTAATGCTGTTTTCAAAATTTTTTACCATTATTATGGTGAGCAGCTTGGAAATGTGGTCGTTTGAATTGATGGTTCTCCTTTCTGGTCTTCTTCCAAATCCAAAGTTGGAAACATCAGTTCTTTCCATCTGGTTGGTTTCATACTTGAGATGTTTTTCGCATTTGTTACATATGCTTGATTATTTTCATAAGTATTACATGACACTTGACATTATTGCACACACTTGGATTTGTTTTGCTAGCTTGAACAGTAGTGCAACTGTTTGGATGATTCCCTTTGGACTCAGTGGAGCAGTAAGGTTGGTACTTCTGAAATTCACTCAAGCATGCATCTGTCAGACATTCTGTTCTCTTCTCAATTTTCTTTTTGAAATATTTTTCTTTCTTTATCAATCATTGCATGGTTCTTGCAGCATTCGTGTCTCAAATGAACTTGGAGCTGGTCGTCCATGGATTGCACGCTTAGCAGTTCATGTTGTCTTAGCAATAGCCATTATTCAGGGCATCTTAGTGGGAACAGTGATGATACTTATACGCAACATATGGGGCTATGCATATAGCAATGAAGTAGAAGTGGTCGAATATGTAGCAATTATGTTTCCAATTCTGGCAGCATCCAACTTTCTGGATGGACTCCAATGTGTTCTTTCAGGTTTTTCTTTCACCATTACTTTTATTTGTCTGAAGTATACCTATGACTAAAAAACACTGGTATAGGCTGAAAGGCATATGAAAACTCCCAATACATCTCATTCAAAAAATGCTAAAAAAAGTATAAAGTTGCACTTAAATGTTAGCCAACACAACACTCAATTGACATCTGATTACTGAGTTAATATCTGGAAAGGAACTTGTGTGCGCAGTTCAAATAAATTACAGATAAGTAAATTAATTTAAAGCTTTCAGTCTGACAATTATAAGACTTGATTTTCTTTTCTTTAGTTTTAAACTTTAATATTGCAGATTGCTTAAATTTAAGAGATAGGAACTTAAAACAGGATTGGTTCATTTTGTGGCCAATTTTCTGTAGAACTCACAGTTTACTTATTGCACATCAATCAAGAATAAATTAGATGATGTATGATCATCTTTCTTCACTTTGTCAATGATAATTCAGGCACTGCTAGAGGGTGTGGCTGGCAGAAAATTGGTGCATTTGTGAATCTGGGGTCATACTATTTGGTTGGAATTCCATCAGCTATTGTGTTAGCTTTTGTATTACATATTGGTGGGAAGGTAAACAAAAGTTCATCCTTTTCTACCATAACCTTCATGTTAATAGGTGATGATCAATTTTACATTGCAATTACCTGATTATGGTTTTCCATGCTAATTTCTTCGTGTAGGGGCTCTGGTTGGGAATCATATGTGCTCTAATTGTTCAAGTTTGTTCTTTAATGATCATTACCATTCGTACTGATTGGGAGCAACAGGTGAAACTTTTCATTTCTTATTTCACATTTGCTTTGGTCCTTTCAATACTGACATGCCTCTGTTTTTAACTCATACAGGCAAAGAAAGCAACAGATAGAGTCTATAATTCAGTAACGGCAGAAAGCTTAGTCTCATGAAGGTGCAATATCTTTGCAGTTGCACATTCTTAGTTAATTCTAGTGAGTGAAATTAAAGCAATATAAGTTTTGTCATTCTTCTTTTGGCAGGAAAACTTTAGGGACAATTTTATTATGTATTGTTGAAAGATAATAGATGATGCAGTTGGTCACTAGAAATAAATAATGTGGTTTTAATTTTGTTTTTCTATGTACTAGTATTGGGATGTTTTGATGCTAATTAGAGAAATCATTTTCTAAGGTTATTATTTACCACTTATAGATTTTTTTTATCATTTTTCAATATTTCATAAAAATTACTTTAATTTGCCATTGGTCAAAACAAAGAGAATTATTTTTTCTGTTGCTTATTGATTCTCAATAAAGTTTTTTCTTCTACTCAAAGTCAACACATTATTTCCCTTATGAAAGTTTTAGTAACTATGATTTCTCCTCATTCTCTAGATGTTCTGTTTAATCAACATCTCTTTTCTATCATTGTCCCATGATGTTCCTCAAATCTATTTACTTGTTTTTACTTTCAGTCTTACAAATGTAGCAGGAAATTCTATTAAGATAATAAATTTTCTCAATAAGTCTAAATTAATTAAAGGAAATTTACATATAGATAATTGTATGTTAAAAAAGTTGTTATAATTAATATTAGTGGAGATAAACAAAAAGATAACTGAGTAATTAAATTTTTTAGTTAATAATTGACTTTTAATAAAAACTGCATTATTATATATAGAGAGCCAATAAGATGGTATTTTTTGCATGAGAAATGTCATTCAAAGTTTATACCCAACCTAAAAATGACTTCTGCTCCAATTATGTTGTTAAAGAATATTGTGTAAGTGTAACTATAAAAGATTTTATATTCATTCAACATTTTGAATGCGATTTCTTAATTTTCTCAAGGATAGAGTCTTTATAAGAATTAAAAACGAAGTATAGACACTTGAATTAAAATTACACAAAGACATCAACATTTAAGTATTTTTAACTTCATATTTTATACACAAATTCAAATTTTGTACAAGGATAATGAAGAAGCAACTTAAGATATAAACAATTGATATTTGACATTCCAAATAAACTCTAAATTTAAGAAGTATTTTCATGTGAGGAGTAATTATATATGCATATCAAGCTAAGTTTCAAAATTGGAAGGTATAACAATATGACTGGAATACATCACATGATTAATTTAAAACTAAAACTCTTTCGATACATCTCACAAACTATAGAAAAATAGATTGACTCAGTCGAATTTCAATCGAGGTATCAGTTAAATTTTGGTTGAGCCTGTGTTGATTTTGACCCAAGTTTACCCATTTCTACTTTTGTCCGTTTGGCCCATCTTACTTACGATTCGGATCGATCCTTCTCAACTATCGGTCTAGGTTAGTCTATCTCAACGTTTGGCCCGAACAGACCCATCTCTACCTACTATTTGGGTCGGCCTATCTAGACCATTGACTTTGNGCAGGAAATTCTATTGAGATAATAAATTTTCTCAATAAGTCTAAATTAATTAAAGGAAATTTACATATAGATAATTGTATGTTAAAAAAGTTGTTATAATTAATATTAGTGGAGATAAACAAAAAGATAACTGAGTAATTAAATTTTTTAGTTAATAATTGACTTTTAATAAAAACTGCATTATTATATATAGAGAGCCAATAAGATGGTATTTTTTGCATGAGAAATGTCATTCAAAGTTTATACCCAATCTAAAAATGACTTCTGCTCCAATTCTGTTGTTAAAGAATATTGTGTAAGTGTAACTATAAAAGATTTTATATTCGTTCAACATTTTGAATGCGATTTCTTAATTTTCTCAAGGATAGAGTCTTTATAAGAATTAAAAACGAAGTATAGACACTTGAATTAAAATTACACAAAGACATCAACATTTAAGTATTTTTCACTTCATATTTTATACACAAATTCAAATTTTGTACAAGGATAATGAAGAAGCAACTTAAGATATAAACAATTGATATTTGACATTCCAAATAAACTCTAAATTTAAGAAGTATTTTCATGTGAGGAGTAATTATATATGCATATCAAGCTAAGTTTCAAAATTGGAAGGTATAACAATATGACTGGAATACATCACATGATTAATTTAAAACTAAAACTCTTTCGATACATCTCACAAACTATAGAAAAATAGATTGACTCAGTCGAATTTCAATCGAGGTATCAGTTAAATTTTGGTTGAGCCTGTGTTGATTTTGACCCAAGTTTACCCATTTCTACTTTTGTCCGTTTGGCCCATCTTACTTACGATTCGGATCGATCCTTCTCAACTATCGGTCTAGGTTAGTCTATCTCAACGTTTGGCCCGAACAGACCCATCTCTACCTACTATTTGGGTCGGCCTATCTAGACCATTGACTTTGATCAATTCGTCTCAATCTTTGGCCTAGTCTCATCTTTCAGCCTAGGCCATCTTGTCTCAATTTTCAGTTTGGGTTTGTTTGTTTCAACCTTCGACTCAAGACGACTGGTCTCAACCTTTCGCCCCACCAGCCTATCCCAACCTTCAACTCAATTCGACCCTTCTCGACCTATAGTCTGGTTTTCCCAATGTCAATCTTTAGCCTAGGTAAACATGTGTTGACCCTTGGTCTGATAAAGTTGGTTTCAACCTTCTGCCTAGACTTGTCCGACTTGATATATGTTTGAAGTTAAAAGTATTGTTTCCAAGAGTTACTTAAAGTCTTTCTAGTAGAGCCAAATCATCTTAATTCTGATCCTAACCCACTTAAGAAGGGTTTTGGAGGTTGTGTGTTTTTTTTCTCTCAATTCCTAAAAGAGAGTTTATTCAAAGGTGAATCATGCCAACCCATGAGCTATCGATCAAGTTGACAACTCTAGTTGTCTTTGCACACATGATATTTAATAGATTATAACTATAAAATAAATACTGAGGATTTCTATATTTATATATAAATTATTAATCATATTTTGAAATTTCAACACTATTTTGTTAACTATTTTATGTTATAAATTTTATTATTTCATTTGTAGTATTTTTTTAATAATTCAAATTGTGTAATTTTAAATATATTTGTGAATTACACAATCTAAAAACGAATTTTATAATTCTAAAATTTGGAAATACATTTTATATTACAAATTTGAATATGTATTTTTATATTATATTATACATTATTGTATTTTATTTTGAATCAAAAGAATAGAACAAGTGTAGAACATTTACAACCTCCATTCATAGGAGACGAATCCATTGATGTACATCATGTAAATGATAATATACATATACATGATACACATGCATCGGTAGTCCATAAATGGAAATAAATAAATATCCAAATTAAGAAATTCAATCTATAATAATCTAAATCTATATTACTTTAAGTCTATTTAAATGATTTTATTTTTTAAATCAAACGTTACATTTTTTTAATTTTAAATTTAATTTAGTTTATTGAATTTGGTCAGATTTTAATTTGGATATTTTTTTTTAAATTTGGAAATTCAAAATAAAAGTGAAGTTTTCTTCGTCATGTGCAAAATCTAGAACTGGCTTCACAAAGAAGGCCTTGCCAAATATCCCAGAATTCCTTACAATTAATAAGTCTTGCAGTTAGAGTTGCTCTCTTGGTCCTTTCCGAGGTTTACTCATGATCCTGCTTAGAAAAGTATGGGGAAATCTTTCTAGTAGTGAAACACAAGGTGTAGATTATGTAACAGTCACAATGCCTATTCTTGCTATCTGCAGCTTCCTTGATGGGATTCAAAGTGTTCTTTCAGGTATCCATGTGAACTTCTTACGTAATCCTTTTTATGTATTCCCTCCATCTTATTTTCTGTCACTATTGGACTATTTTGTCTTACATTAGTTGAGCAAGTATTAACTATTTTTTCCCCAATAATATTATCATGAAGAAACAAATTCCCTTGTAGATATATAGTTGTAGCAATGTAGTGTAGTTGATAAGAATATTTTAGTCACACAAAACGAGACTGTGAGTCAAAATTTTCATTTCCATGCAATACAGGGTTTCTTAATTGGCTAGGAGGCACATAAATTCACTGTTTCAGAACATCCATTTTTGGTTACGTATTAAATAATCAGTCACTTTAATGTTGGAAAACAAGGCATTGCAAGGGGTTCTCTGGTTGGCAGTGCAATTGTGAATCTTGGATCATTTTATTTTGTGGGAGTTCCTTCTGCAGTGGTGTTAGGTTTTGTTATCACATGAAAGGGAAGGTTTATATATTATACATAATTTATCAGTGGTCTTTATAGTTATTTTGACTTGCCAAACTCTTCAGATAAATTTTCCTAATGCATGCATAACTTGAAATAGGGTCTTTGGTTGGGGATTGTTTCTGCATTCATGGTGCAAGTGAAATTTTTTGCTGTCATTACTATCAGAACTAGCTGGGAGAAAGAATTAAGGCACCTATTTCATATCATTTTTCTGTACAAACGACAGTGTCAACATTTTACTATTCACTATTTGCATTTTTTTTTTCCTTGTTCAGGCAACTAAACCAGCAAGGAGAGTCAAAAGTAGCAGAGTCCCTCCTAGAGAAGGTGTAGAAGGAGCAAAAGATACTTTAGAGAATGAGACTTAGTTTGAGTTTAGTAATGATGAAAAACTTTTACACTTATAGCAATAAACACAATTTGAATTTTCTTTTAAAAGCATTAGTAACCAATCATTAGATATTAATGTTAATAAACATTTTTAGTCATCATGTTCTGCATCACTATTATTCGATGGTTTTGGCTTATAAACTACAAAAAAGACTGTCTAAAGTCAATGCATTCAGCCCATGCATGTTTATTCTAATAGTTCAGACTACTTATATTATTGCTTCTCGATTGAATCAGGGTCCAGGTCAAATTTTCTAAATATTACATACATAAACTAATATTAGGTTCCTTCAGAGTTATTATATCTATATGTGGCTGGTGAATATATATATTTATATATTCAAAACTATTAGTTCAAATTTCTCAGATGTATTTCCAAATATTAATCTAAAAGAGCCTTATGTATTAAAATATAAATCCTTTTTTAAGTAGATCTCTTTAAAGAAGGTTTGTTTTTATTAGTTGTTCTTTTAGCATCTATGTAACGTTTCATTTTAATAGTTTTATACTATTAAAATAGTATATTACATTACTGGTATGAGAATCAAAATAGCGCAGCGAATGGCAGTGGGTATGTTCTCATCAGTACAAGGCATGCATGAAGAGGTTTCTAGATCATGTGTTAATGGTTTGTGAGTG